TTATAGTAATTTCAGCTCATAATCCTGTGTTTTTGAACGAGATCCAGTGTTGTTTGATAACATAATAATTGTAAAGGAAAGTGTAACACGTTTTGGTGCAAAGGTAAGTTTTAAATACACATTTTAATTATATGTTTTGTGATATTTTCGTACAAAACTAACAATTGGAAAATATTTTCTATGTTACAGATTACAAAATGAGTAAAATTAGATGTATTCGCCCATTCAAAGACATTCAGTGTTCGAAAGAGCTGCGATATCTCACGGATGGTATCATCCAAAAACTAAAATCAATTGGATTTTCCAAGGTATCCACACTGAACACCAAGGATTTTCGTGTTTGTTCGTCTTGCCGTCTACATATTGATTCAAGAGCTCACCTCACCCAAAACGAGGAACAAAGCGTAGCCGGCGGCTCAAGGATGCCAACTGTTCAGACCATACCTGATGTACCTGATTCGCAAAGCTATGAAAGTTTGGTCACGATACCATCAGAGTCAACGCTAAGCACAATTAAATCAAATGAAGACTTCACGATGCCTGTAGACGTCGAAATATTCAACCGAGGAATAGCAGCTATTCGTGTTTCGCCTATAGATTTAGGTAAGGTTAAAAATGTTCACTATCCTGAAAAAAAGTGCGCTGAAATCGTCGAAGGTGTACGAAGAAATCTTTTTATATTAGACGCTAAAACAGAAAAAGCAAACGAGTTTGATGAAGTCATAGAAAATATGAAAATTAAATTTTTAAATTCAGCCACAAGGCAAGAAAAACTATCAATTTTATCATTGTTGCCAAAATCATGGTCAGTACAAAAAATTGTAGACGAATTTAAAACCAGTAGAAATATGGCATCAGATGCAAGAAAGGAAAGAGATAATGTAATGTAAAAACCGAAAAAACTTTTCTAGCCTTTGTAAATTTAAGTCAAAGTATGGTATTGACGCTGAATGGCATTTCTTCGCAACATCGCACGGAAAAGGTCCATGCGATGCTATTGGAGGTACGATAAAACGCATGGCTACCAGAGCAAGTTTAGCCAAAGAACGCGAACACCCGATAAAGACTGCAAGAGAGTTGTTTAATTGGGCAAACAAACGAAAAGAAGAAGAACTTACAAAGTTGTCATTTTGTTATTCTACTACAGAAGAATACGAAAATATGTCTTTGCAGCTAAATAATCAATATAATAATGCAAAAACAATTCAAGGAACTCTAAAATTCCACTCATTTCTTCCTCTATCAGAAAATACAATAAAGGCAAAGCTTTATTCAAACTGTCCTGACAATGATGCCAAAATATTCAATATTGTTAAGAAAGTTGTGTAAACAATAATTTTATAAAAATACAGGAATAAAAATAAACTGATGATATCCAACATATAATGTTATTTTTTATTGCGCACAATCACCATCCCTGAAAAATAAGCTTAATTCGCTCTTTTCAATCTTGCTAATTGAGGAGCTTACATTTGCAGTTCTCAAAAAGGTGTATCTCGAAATCGAGTTGTCTCATCGGTTTGATGTCTGTGGCGATGTTCGGCAATAGAGAGAAAATATGCACAGTATAAACACATCCAGTTTAAATGGATTAAACTGTTAGGCGATATGCAAGAGTTGAATGCACATTTTCAGCACAACGCACCAAAAATCACTTGAAGAAATCATTGTTCCTGATAGTGGGATTTTGTAACTTGTTTTTCAAAATACTTTTAAGGCAGAGAATTTCACTCGAATCTTTAAGCTGTCAGTGTCATTTTAACTCAAAATTTTCCAATCTTTCCGAAAAAAATACTTTTGAAACTGGAAAAACACGGAGTACATCCGAAAAGGGCCAAAACTTATTAAGTTATCAAAAAAACAATATTAAATCAGTAATATCTTCTAAACGGTGCATCTTAGAAAAATGTTACCGAAGTATTTTTTGTTTGAAAATTTAATGTACTTTCATAAAATTAGGGTGACAAACTTTTTTGACTTTTCTTAATAGCTTTTTTGAAAATTGTATTTTTTTAAAAAACAATTTTTTTCATCGTAACCTATTTTTCTCCAGAACAACCTACTGTGCACTAGATAGCATTTTCAGTCAGCTATAACATTAGGATAATAAAAAAATTATTGACATGTCACTTTAAAGGGAAAATTTATATTTTAGTTCAAAACACAAATACCAAACTTTTTTTTTTACCGTGCATATTTTCTCCATATAACACCAACAATTGTCTAAAACTTCGCCCAAGACACCAAACCAATCGGGTAAACCGTTTCCGAGATACAATTTTTTGAAGATATCATGTGCATTTTTCATAGGCCCTTCTCTTAAGTAAGGCTAGATTCAAAATGGCGAACCAAGTATGCAAAACGGCGTTTTTCTTCCCCAAAAACTTGTATGCAAGGTTTCATGCAAATCAAAAAAGATGAAAATTACTCGTTGCTTTAATGATATGGAACCGCTCAAATGGAGCAGTGTGGTAGCTTGTACTGGGGCCGTCTGTGGCGGGAGTGTGTGAATGAGCATTACTTGCATTTGTGGTGGAATTCGTGGTAGATTCCGGGTGGCTTTGTTGTGTTTGCTGAGTGTTTGTTGAGTGACCGTTAGGTGTCGGCTTAGTTTGTGGTGGTTGCGTGTTTTGTCCTTGTGGTTTCTTATTTGACTGATTCCCTTGGAATGGTCCAGATCTGTTCTGTGAATTCGCGGTGGTCGATGAGTTCGCGTGAAGCAACGAATGATGACGCTGGCCACATTGGTAGCACGATCCTCTAGTGCAAAATCTTGCGATGTGTGCAGGAGACAAGCAGTTCAAGCAGAGCGAATTTTTCCTCACGGCATCGACCCTTTCCGAAATTCTCATTTTTGAAAACTTCGCACACTTAAATGCGGAGTGCGCAGATTCTCCGCAGAATGGACAGCAGCCTGATGACTGGATACCTGCATGACTAGTGGAAGGACGAACTATTTTCCTCGGTTCAGCCTGGAATTGCCTTCCAGGTGAGATAGACTGCAACACCGAACAGTGACTCTTCAGGAACTTGATTAAGTCAGCATATCGTGGGACTTCCTTAGAATTATAGTGGGACTCCCACTGGCGTAGTGTTGTGGGATGTAGACGTTTGCAGAGCATGTACTGCAGCAACGTGCTCCAACCCTCCGGGTTTTCACCAATCTTGGACAGCATTTGCAGGTTTTTCTCAAACCCATTTACGAGTTTACTCAACGACTCGTAATTCTCCTGCCGGAGTCGCTCTAGGGCGAACAACGAGTCCAAGTGGGTCATCACCAACAACTTCTTATTCTCAAAGGCATTTTCCAAGGCGGTCCACGCAATGGGGTAGTTGGCAGAGGAAATCTCGATCGATGCGATCTCCTGAAGCGCATCACCGATGAGAGACGTTCGCAGATAAGTGAACTTATCCATATTAGACAAGCCAGTATCATTGTGGATCAGGTTCTTGTACGTGTCTCGAAAAGTGACCCAATCCGAGATTCTTCCGTTGAAGGTGGGCAGTTTCAGCTCTGGGAGCTTCACCTTGGACTGTGGTACAGCTACAGATTGATGCTGTTGAACTTGCAGTGCACTACTTGATGTAGATTGAAGAAACCCGAACATAGATTCCTTCAAGCGGTACACTTCATTCTCGAAATCTTTAATTATCTTCGAGTTCTCACGATCTCGTTGTCTCTGGACCCTGACTTGCCGTTGCAATCTTGCTTCCTCCGTTTCTTCCGTTTCGTCCGTGGAAATCTCATCATCGACGCCATCAGTGATCAGCTCAATGCGCATCCGAATATCGATGAATTGTTGCCAGATATCATCCAGCCTGGCTATGCGCATGTCCAAAGAACGTCTATCAGCTCCATCGTTAATCGATTGGACAAACTCCTTAATGTTGTCCAAGGAAATCCGCATGGCACGCTCCTGCTTGTGCAGCAGCCGTAGATCATCGGTTGCTGGCATAATTGAACACTTTCACTATAACTTATTACTTCACCCGAATGCGATACTCGAATCGACCACGCGGTATTGACTGGACAATGAAACCAATTCAAAATGGGAGATCAAGAACAAGGAAAACCAACCTACAAAGCGGACAAAGCCAACAAGATGGTGGAATGGTCAGGGCTCAACTCAGCTTCAAATAAATTGGACGCCACAAATTTGATCATGCAAGCAATTTGTATAATATTTATTCACGGTAGTAAATCGATTTTTCATTTCACCGCCGGCGTCGGTCTCACATGCAACAGAGATCCGCGCCACAGACAAACCTGCTCAGGGCCCTCAGTACTTATCCTGATATCGCCTAGCAAATCCGTCTGGATCCGTCGAATCTACGATGGCAGGTTCAACTCCGTCGTAGCACTTTCCACAGGAACAGCAGCAGCAGCAGAAAGATGATGGCAGCAACAACAGACGAACGATGGCAGCAACAGCAGCAGCAGACCACCGAACCACTTTAGTCTTTAGACACCCGTGTCCTATTGTTCTCCCTTATGGAGAATAATCAGCGACCACGCGGTGGCTAAACAGTCACTTCACTTTCGCGTTTCCCGACGATCCGGCTCGAAGGACCAAAATGTTCAACCGGGGACTTAATCACTGGGTTCAAAGTCGTCGGATAACGCGCACAGAAAGCACTTAACACGCGAGTACTTTAACGGGGTAAATTATGTGGACTGTATTTAATTTTGTTCTTAATTGTACAAATTTCAACACGCGACGTTGTACTTCAACAAACGACTGTTCCTGCATAAGGTTTATTGCGAACTAAATTATATGAAAATTCTAGGGATCTACACCACTGCGTGCGATGTTTTTTCTTATCGGTTTGCTACCTACACTCGGCCCTACCGTTGATCGTGAAGCGATCGATATGGTACGGGATAGATTGATAAGGGACATTGGGCAGAATAGGTCAACTATATCTCCTACTGTTCATCTACTCGGGTCACTCATGATCGAGTGAGTGATCTTGCAGTGGTATGGTTTTTTCTAGGTAGAAACCCGTGAAAGTGGTGACCGGTGCGAACACAAATCATTTCAAGCTGAACATTGCATTAGGTCCTTAGTAATATCGATCGATTCTCTTCGTTGACTTTCTCTTTCATTGACAATTTAAGCACACAACCGTTTCGTATTAGATAAAAACTTTTTTCAACGATCTGTGTGCTGAAAATACCTGGGAATGTCTTTAAATGGCCGTGGGGATGCAAAGAGAAAGCCGACGAAGAGAATCTGTCAATGTTACTTTGGACCAAATGCAACGTTCAGCTTGATTTGTTAGCATTATTGAGACTCTCCCAAATGGAAATGCAACTTTACATGAACGTTTGTGTGATAAAGTTTTAACGTTATGTATTATGGTTTTTTGGTAATTAACCTAACAAATAATGGGTTGTTAAGAACCATTACCATTCAAAATAGTTGTTTTCTCCATACTTTATGGAAATATGACAATGTTAATGTTAATGGCTATGGTAGTCAGTTAGGTCCATGGATGGTTTTGTAACACCGATCAACTTTATGTGGAAACGGCGCCGGTGGTGTAGTGGTAAGCGTGATTACCTCTCACCCCAGCAGGCCTGGGTACAATCCCAGTCGGCGCCGCCGGGATGTTCTGAGGCATAACATCTCTGATCACGCCTTCCTTCGGATGGGAAGTAAAGCCGTTGGTCCCTGGTTCATGAATGATGTGATGGGTCGATAGGTAGGGTCCAGGTGGGAGAGCTGCCTTCCTGGCACGTCGGTAGTATTGGTGCTCAGCACGGAAAACAAGATCGACGGAAAAAACAAACCAAAGGAAAAAAAAAAAAAAACTTTATGTGGAGTAATTCGCGAATTGGTAATCATTAATTTACAGGCAACCCATTCGCAAAAATACTGCCCGCCTGACGTATACATGGTGGAAAGGGACGGAAAATCGTGTTGTAAGCAGAAAGACAAGAGCAAACCCAAGTAACAAATTTGGTTTTATGAGGGTTCTGTAGACCATGCCCAAGTAACATTGCAAGCTTTATAGAGGTTTTATAGCATTCTACAAGTCTAATTCATGGTCTACATAACCCTCATAAAACCAAAATTGTTAGTTGGGTGATTAAGACTTGTAGAATGCTATAAAACCTTGATAAAACTTGCAATGTTGCTTGGGAAAACATGGCCGCCAACCAGGCCCCTGGTTCGAACAAGTTTAACCGTCAGGTTAAATTAACCCGAACAATGCATAAGGTCCTTACTACATTGGTTCGATGGCCATGTAAAATAGTTTTGGGCTATTTTCGACAAACAGTTTGATGGAAGAAGCTACTATCTAGCAATTTATATGAAAAACATAGCCAGAGGCGTCTTTGCAGCGAAGTTATTAACGAAAGAGAAAGCCGATGAAGAGAATCGATCAATGCAGATAGGCTTTTATGCATTGTTCGGGTTGAAATCTAAATTCATCAAAAAATACTAAGCAAGGGAAAATTTTAAAATTTATTTGGTTCCACTGTTTAACATCTTAAATTTAATTACACGTGCAATGCATTTTGGAACACGCGTTATAAATTCGCGCGATTTAAAATCCACCACACGAACGCGCCGTCACTTAGCGTTGCCAGATATACCGATTTATCGGTATTTATTCAGATTTTTTAGTTTTAATACCGGTTTACACCGATTTTTTTTTTAATAATCAAAATTATTACTGCACGCCCGCGTTGAAACTATTGCAAGAGGCTTTTATGATTTTGAACATTCAATTTTTTGAGCCAGCTCTAAAAAAAAAACTTCTTCTTTAAAAATTTCTTATGCTTGATACTCTTCCGACTAATGCTTCTATTTCCTCACCTTTTTTGGCTATCAAGGGGTCGAGAAACAGCTGATGGCGCATTCCGGTATTTCCTGTAAATTGGGAAATACTTTTGTTCAGTGAACAAATAAATCCATCAAAATGTTAATTTTTCAACTTCCTGAACTTTCTCTTATATTCTTTTCGAAGTTTTTTCCAACTTTCCCTAGGAACTTTCGTCCACCTTACCCTGTAAATTATTTTACAATTCCTTCCGGAAATCTATTTTGACTTCCCTTGGAAGCTTCTTCTGACTGGCCTTGAAAAGCTCTTTCGTCTTCTCCCTTACCTTACCAATCAGGCTAAGGCCTTGTTGTCCTCTGCTGTCCGAAGAAGTCGTCTCCACTCTCCATGGATCGAGCATGGCCACACGTGGTCAGCCTCATAGTCTGCGAATTAGCTTCAGGAAAACAGCAGGATCTTTTCAGAAGTTCTGAAACTTCAGAATAGTTCGGACTTTTGGGTAAGTTTAAAGATATGTAAGGGTGATAAATTCCGATAAATTAAAAGCAGTTTCAGTAACAGCTGATAAAATTCGAGAATTCGGGAATTTCAGGAAAGTCCAGAGAACTCCAGTGAACTAAAGGAAACAATATTTTGGAAACTTCACAAGTCCAAAAAACTTCATGGAAATTTAATGGTTTTCAGGACGCTTCCATTTGTTTTAGGAGATGATTAATGAGAATTAAGATAACTTTAGGAAAGCTGTGAGAACATCAGGACACATAAATTAATGAAAATTTCTGAACCTTTAAAGGAGTTCCGAGGAACTCAGGGAATTTCCAAAAACTTCAGCAGAATTCCGAAAGGTTCATGAAAACTTTGTCAACTTTAAAACAGCCCTATTAACGTCTGGAAAATTTCAAGAACTTTCAAGGAGGGCCATGAAATTAAGATATATTCCGAAGTGTATTCAGGAATGTTCTGAAAATTTCAGAGAAATTGGGATGTTGCTATGTTGGGAATACTGCTGGATCATTTGAGCATGTAAAAAACTTCAGGGAATGTTGCTAACATCGCCCAGAAATCTATTTCTCCCAGATTTTTTCCTCACTTCTCCTTGAAGTACCTTGCGCTCCCTGGCTTTCACCTTTTCCAGAAGTGTCTTCCAATCTACCTTAGGAAGTTTCTCCCAGCGCCTCCGAAAAGTCTCTTCCATCTTCTACAGGAAGTTCTCCCAGAAGTTTCTTTCATCCTCTGAAAGTTTCTCCATAAGTCATTCTCGGTAGGTTTTGTCTAACTTCTATTGGAAGGTTTTTCCGAGCATCTTATAACTTCCCATGGAATTGCCTTCCAATTTCCAAAACTTTTCTGGTTTCCTCTGGGTGTGTTATCTGATTTTTTTCCGAAAGTTTCTTAAGTTTTCACTAGAAGTTCACAATATTTGTCTTGGAAGATCCTCATCGGATATTTTTCCGACATTTCTTAGAATGTCCTGCAAACCTCCACCGCAAGATCTTCTTTCTTCTTCTGCCGTGCCAAACTGATTTCCTACGCAGTTATTCAATCTTTGATGTGAATTTCGCTTATAAACACTAGGAGCATTTCTTATAGCAAAACTTACCATAATAAAATGGGCATAGTTAATTTTGGTAAACAAACTAACACTTCTTCCTACTGTGTCACCTATTTATTAGGCGCCTAGGGCAGGGCTGGCCTACTGTGCAATCTCTCAACGTCAACATGAAAAGAGTTTGGCGATTTTATTTTCTCCTTTGGTAATTTAGGCGTTTTGGTTTTTTTTTATTGCCCTAAAAAAAGATTTAAATGAATAAAAAATCGATATCAACTTTGAAAAATCGATTCTGTCAAACATCGAACAGAAAAGATCGGTTGAAAAAAATCGATTTTTCGTGGCAAAATAATCGATTCTGCAAAAATCGCATCGACATCGCCTATTCCTAATTCATACTGAAGTTCAATCGTTTTATAAATTCATGGTTCTCCTATTGTTCTTGCTTGAGTGTCGGAATCTGGCCGGCACGACGACTAAGGTGAACTTGTGAACAACGGCGAAATTGTGGTTTCAATCACTGGGCGGACTGGCTCGAACCGAGATAGTTTTCGGACGAGAGTACAGAAACTGGTCTGTCTTGCTTTGTAGTTCTTAGGAAACTGATTTATTTGT